GTAATCAATTAAAATTATTTCCCTGAAAGGGGGCCTCATACAATGTTGTGTTGTCTGTCAGTCAGTCAGCAGACACTAAAATGACTTCACCTAAAGGACGCTTAACGTTGCAATTTGTACTGTAGTGACGTCAGTAAAATGTGCGCATGCCATGAGTTACGAAATAATTGTGCACTCTGTAGGCTACAACACAGCATGACATATGAACTTCAAAAGCAAGAAATAAAAATATCTGTAACTCTAAATTTTGGTTTTGGTTATTCTTGAAACAGAATTATTTCCGGAATCCTGCGGAAGTATATCTAGTAATAAGTTATTATTTGATACTAGCAAGAAAAAACAACAGAGAAACACACGGGTTACAGTTATGTATTAAAATAATACGGTTGTGTATAACAATTTCTGTAGTCAAATGGCTTTGGTTACTTAATAATAGGTAGAACTACAAAACGTTATCGAAACAGAATTGCAAACTTATGACGACAAAGAACAGTAATACCTAATGAGAAACTAGAAAAATGTAATACAATATTTTTTCTGAGCAAATACAAACAAATTATAAACTATTTCACACGAGTAACTAGGAATATAGTACATGATATCAAAATAGTAATGCAAACTTTATGACGAAACAAAACTGTAGTAACATTATGACGAAACAATATTGTTATGACAAAACATAACTGCAAAACTTAACTATGGATTTGAAGAGTACTTACCTGATGATGAATGCGGATGTAATTTTACTTAACTGTTAGTTCATTGTAAAACATCAGTGCTAAGATCACTTGTTATTTGACAGGCTATTATTTTACAGTGACTAGAGTTTATTTACAGACAACTGCTACCAGTAATTCAACCTTTCAAATACGGTACGTTGTTTTACAATGCATCTTCTTCTTAGTAGCCCTCCCCCAGTGGCACAGCGGTATGTCTGTGGACTTCAATGCTAGAACCCGGGTTTCGATACCCGTGGTGGGCAGAGTACAGATAGCCCATTGTGTAGCTTTGTGCTTAATTACAAACAAACCTTCTTAGTAACTAAGAAATATAATTCCTGTTATCATTAACAGAATCATAAACCCGAAACTGACTAAGTGCACCAATTAGAGATTTCTTGAACCGAAATAGTGCAAAGTTTTTCAAAGGGATAGGTGCTTGGGTCCTGAATGAGAAGGGTGCTAAGTTTCTAAATTAATAAATCTTTTTTTTTCCCCCACAAAACAAATATTCTATCTAAAACGTTTGTGACTAAAAAGAAATAAGCTTATTACTTAGACATTTTTACAGACTTAAACTGATATAAAGTCTTGAGAATGGTGCCAATTAATGACTTTAATTACGATTTTTACAGATGTATTAATTTATAAATGTGAGAACGTTTAGTCAACCATGCCGATCGGATATGGGCAGATTTAACTCGTTTATTTAAGATATCGATTGGGTGTGGGCTGACTTAATTCGTTTATTTAACGTAAAGATCAAATGTAAATGACTACAACCCATTTTTTTAACATATCAGTAATATGTGAATGGACATGATTCGTTTATTTAAACATACTGATCGGATGAGAAATGACATATTCCATTTATTTGACATGCCGATTGGATGTGGATAAGTAGGCTTAACTTATTTATTTAACGTACCGATTAGATGTGGGTACGTATAGGCTTAACGTATCTAACGTACCGATCACATTTCAGCGAACCTGTACTGAACATACTGGTCAAATGTGGGTGGACTTCATCATTTTATTTAAATACCCATCAGATACGAATGGACACAAACGATTTATTTAACATACTCAGTGGATGTCAACAGACATAACCCAATTATTTAATATACCTACTGGATGGGGACGGACACACTTAAAATTAATTAAACATATATCATATGCGAACGATATACGTTTAATTAATTTATAATACCAATTAGATATGAACAGATACAACCTATTTATTTAACATACCGATCGGACGTGTAAGACATAACCCATCTGTCCAACATACCAATCAGGTGTGAACGACATAACTAACCCATTTGTTTAACATACCAATCAGATGTAGACGAATATACACCCATCCTTTTTATAACATACCAATCGGGTTTTAGACATTTATTAGCTATTTTGAAAGCACTAGAAAATCCAACGTATACAAAGAGACAGAAGCCCTAACAACAGTAGGTTAAAAGTTATAGTCAATCAAATAATATGTATCATTTATTTAGTCATGTTTTAAGACAAACATGAATAACAAAAGATATTTCCTTCACCAGAATCCCATGCAGGATGAAATGACTTGGTCTCTAGTAAAATACATTTAACTTCGGCCTAAATTTAACGTTAATATTCAAAGACAGGACGTGTCGAAAGCTCAGAGACAGAATTTAACCATTGAATCAGCCAGTAAGTAATATATAGAGTTCGCTCTGTTTCAGATCTGAAGAAAAAGGCATTCACTAAGGCATCAGAGGCGAACATATAGAATATTTTTAACTCTTATTGGATTAACCATAAAATATCGAACCCCATCGGATACTTAAACTAATTTATGTACCAAAATACTGGTGGTTCTATGCCTTTTTTGTTTACAGGATACCTAACAACGTATGGGTCAGACACAAGTATCTTATACAGAAAATGAGTAATTTCACCCTACTTGTTTGACCACCCCTTTTACATTGAGCGTTGAAACATGCCAAAAGAATGTCTACAATTTGAAAGCAAATAATGAAATTTCCCATGGCTGAGAATTTTGATACAGCTTGTAGTTTTTTACATTATTATCAATCTTACAGAGTGAGAAACCAACCAATCTTAAGCATAAAACATATGTAATTGTACGTTTGTATTAAGATAGTGTTTAAAGATAGAATTTGTGAAGATTCGGAATGAAATTATTAATAATGCTTAATTAATTGAGATCATATCTATTTCCTACGTTCAGCATTATTTTTGGTTTAACGATAAGTTGAATCACACTTAACTGTGTAGACAAAGTGAATATCGTGTTTTATTCGTAGATCTACGGGCAAAAAGTTTAGTGAGAAACATGTAGCATTATCCTGTTTTCCTGCTCATTTCAGTGCCATTTTCTGTTGCGCAGTAAAGCTGCCCGTTTTTTGGTAAATTACAAAAGTATCTTCTCAAAACTGAGAAAAGTTTGCCCCAAAACGTTATCGCAGGGAGCATTTTTGGTGAAACCCGCTTTGTTTGGTATTATCCAACCAGTACTTCGTAAAATAAGAAGTAAATATATCTTGTGCAGATTTTCCATCATATTATCAGATCCGACTTCTCTTTTCGTTTCTTGATTTACATTTAATTGTAATTTATTCTACTTAATTGTATCATGATTTGGTCCCACCAGGTGGGGCTCACAAACACCCTTTATTGAATTCAACTCTTTTTCTACGTACAGTTACTTCGCAACCTCAAAGGGATACATAGAATCCGCCAATAGTCTCCGTGAGAAAGTCACTTTTCAAAAAGATTAACCATCTTTTTTCACAGTTTCTATATTCAGTTGTAAAAAAATGTCTGTAGTATGAACCTGACAACAACAAGAACTAATCGGAAATTTCTCTCCAATGGTAAAGACTCACTGATAAAAATAAGACAGTTATGATAATTATTTTCACACACGTGGAATCTCCACAGGGCTTACGCATTGACAGATGTGTCATTTGTTCCATAAAATGATATGAGAACGCCATTTTGTATCACCAACATGACAACAGTAACTACTGAATGCCCCAAGTTTAACGTGACGTTCGAAGCTTCCTCTGGGAACGAGAGTGTCAGCTCACGACGATCAGATGGCTGTGACGGCGTAGCTCCCATCCGCCACGACTGAATGGCAAGGCAACGCGAGCACTGACGTTTTGCACCCGCTCTGAACATCAGAAACGTGAACATTTGCTCTAGACTATGAGAGCAATATTGCCCCTATAAATTTATAATGATCGGCAGTAAAGTTTGTGTCTACTGACGTATTATTTGTGGGCTCATTGTTTATGAGTTCATGCTTTTCAGTTCCCCTCTTTTTTTTAATAGAACCGTGGAAGTGGTGAGGATCCATTCGTGTCGCGCTTTTATTATTCCATGAAATTTCATACAACGTGAGAGAGTCCAAAAACCTCAATAAGTTTATTTTTGACTCACTTGATGAAGTATAACGGATAGTGGCAGACCAGTCATTAGTTAACATATGAGATGTATCCAACCGCATTGCTAACTTGTACATTTTTTTAACCACCTTACTCTCGTTCCCTAAAGACCAAACTAACTCTGACTAATGGTGGCGTAAACGAAAATTCAAGTCTATTTATTTTGGAAACAAAACGATATTTTTTTCCCTAAATCCCCTCAGCGAACTCTCATGAGTTAGGATTTTGTTCTTATCCCCTGCAAAAACATATCAATAGTTTTCAGTTAATGATGGCTTATGGAACAAAACTATCTCAAGCAGGAGCGAATTGTTCCAGTAAAATGTATTACCCTGTCAAATACTATACAGAGAGATTTATGGTTCGAAGTTAAAACAGATAGCAGAAAAATTTCAGAGCAGAAAAGCGGTAAATCTTTATTCAATGATAAGAAAGGAGTCTGTGTTTTATGGAAGTTCGTTTGTAAAAAGCAACAACGTTCGTATCCTTCTTCTTAAGTATCCAGAGAGCGTGTGGCATCTTCGCATGAAGGGTTAACTCTTTACCGAGTTAGGGGCTGTTTCACAAAGGCTGTGATAGTCGCAGTTAATTTCGAAGCAACCAGAATTATTTTATTATCATGATCTTATTATTACCTGTAAAAAAGTAGCATGTCGAGCCTGATTATTAATACAATTTATTAAAAGAATATATGTGTTACGGTAGAAAGATCGTTGACAAGGAAGAAGTGTATTTTAGGTACGAAGTGTCTTTTCTTCTTTGATTAAATATATCAGATAAAGTCATCAAATCCATTAGTAAAGTTCTAGTCTACAACTAGAAAACTTACCCTAACGCGGGCTTCAGTTAAGTTAGTCCACATAGCTATTTCTTCTCGGGTAGACATGTCGGGATATCTGTTTCGAGAGAAAGCTGCCTCAAGTTCCTGGAGTTGTTGACTGGTAAAGTGAGTTCTCTGTCGTCGCTGTCGTTTCTTCTTCTTCGGATCGTCGTCACTCGAAATATCGTGACTGTCCACAGTTCCTTGGCCAGACTTTCCACTAATAGCACCTGAGTCTATGATAAAACCAAAACATAACTTCGTTAGCTAATTTCAATTCAGATATAAAAATTAGACTAAGTGACAGATGTTTGTTAATACTGAGCAACTAATATCATACCAAGCTTAGTAAACTTAAACAGGGAAGATGGTGTCACAAAATAATATACCAAGTTCAGTGAATACAGACAGTGAAGGTGGGGTCACAAACTAATATTATATCAAGTTCCGTGAGCTCCGACAGAGATGTGGTGTGACAAACTGGTGTTGTACCAAGCTCAGTGAACTCAGACAGTGAAGGTGGGGTCACAAACTAATATTATATCAAGTTCAGTGAACACCGACAGAGGTGTGGTGTGACAAACTGGTGTTGTACCAAGCTCAGTGAACTCAGACAGTGAAGGTGGGGTCACAAACTAATATTATATCAAGTTCAGTGAACACCGACAGAGGTGTGGTGTGACAAACTGGTGTTGTACCAAGCTCAGTGAACTCAGGCAGTGAAGGTGGGGTCACAAACTAATATTATATCAAGTTCAGTGAACTCCGACAGATGTGTGGTGTGACAAACTGGTGTTGTACCAAGCTCAGTGAACTCAGACAGTGAAGGTGGGGTCACAAACTAATATTATATCAAGTTCAGTGAGCTCCGATAGAGGTGTGGTGTGATAAACTGATGTTGTACCAACCTCAGTGAACTTCGACAAAGAAGGCGAATATTGATATTAATATTAAACCAAACTTTCTAGAATCAAATACAAAAGGCAGTGTAACAAAGTAATGTTAAACCAAAGTCAATGAACATGGAGGAGATTCCTCCAATTAATACTATACCAAGCAAGTTAAGTGGACCACAGAAGGTGGTGTGATTAACTTCTACTAAACGAAACTTATTAATGAAATTAAACAATGAAAAGAGGTAGATAAAAGCGCTTTCTACACTTTTACTAAATTGATATATTTTGCAACGTTTCGGCCTTAGGTCCACTTCAGGCAAAGAACAAAATACAACTGACTATGGTGAAGAGTCGTTTGGACTTTCCTCACACCACGAGACACGCAGTCCGAAACATTGCAAAATAGATCTATTTAGGTAAGAGTGAAGAAAACAATTTTATCTACTTATTTTCGTTGTTTAAACTTATTAATGGATTCTACTCTTAACAGAGCAGTATCTTTGGTTGATGAAACTAAATGAAACTTAGTGAACCTGATCACAGAAGACAATGTCACAAACTAATATTATTTTAAGCTTAGTGAACTCGACTGTACGAGACGGTGCCACGTTAATAAATATATTAGTCCTATCTCAAGTTTCTCCACTTGGACGTCTGGTAACAACTATTTCGTTTAGACTGTAAAAGTGACTTAGATGTTTCGCATGTCAGTACGACTTCTTGTAATAAACTTAATAACCGTATAAAACTCATATTTTTATTAACACGGCGATATTATCCAGGTTTCGGACTTTTAAAGACCAATTATCACCATATTCGTAGTTCTTGAATCGATTCATGAAAATTAATAAACAAATAGTCGACTCTAAACTCACGACCCGAGCATTGTCATTTTCTGAGGACAGGTCATAGTTCAAGTTTGTTTCTCACGGTATTTTGTTTGTGCTTTTACACATCTTGTGATGAATAACCTCGGATGACCATTTCAATCAAAATAAGCTTGACACCGTTACAGCCGAGGCTACTAATACACTCTTACAGGGCATGGGGTTGTAAGGCCAATGAAATTCCCGTTATCCAACACAACGCATTGAAAGGCGTTATATAATTTGTTAACGTCACTTTGTGAGGCAAACGAGATAAAGTTTCAACGGTCACTACCATACATTGTTGTTTCGTCTCTTCGGGACCTTGTTCAGATAACCTCTTATATGATGGCATCATTAGAAACCAAAAACATTGAATATTTCTAGTTGATTACCAAAAAATAGTTTGTGAATTTCGACTTTGTGTTTCTTGCGAAATTTCTACAAATTTAAATCACTCTTGAAAAATTCATGTTCATCAACTAATTTAATTCGTTAATAAAAATGTTGGCCTGTTCTGATCAAAAATGTTCTGATTGAAATAACTGAACCTTATTGATTTCAATCTTATAAATAAAATAAAATTCAATGTTTTACATTGTAACTTTTGTCATGAACTAACAGTTTATTATAACCGTCCATGTCCATGGCCAGGTGGTTAGGGTGCTCGACTCGCAATCTGCGGGTCGCGGGTTCGAATCCCCGTTCCACCAAACATGCTCGCCCTTTCAGCCGTGAGGGAGTTATAATGTGACGGTCAATCCCACTATTCGTTAATAAAAGAGTAGCCCAAGAGTTGGTGGTGGGTGGTGATGACTAGCTGCCTTCTCTTTAGTCTTACACTGCTAAATTAGGGACGGCTAGCGTAGATAGCCCTCGTGTAGCTTTGCGCGAAATCCATTACAAACAAACAGATAAAAATGTCCCTACCATATGTTTTATCTATTTTTGAATTTTAGATCCACTATATTGCTGTTCATATCTGAAATCTGTTGCATCTGTTTCTTAATACGTTTTAAGATTTGAAGCATCTGAGGTTACGTATACTTTGTTTTAAAGTTGAGTTATTTTGTTGGAATTCATGAGCCTATCGCTTCGATTATTTTTCTAATTACATAAAAAAGAAAGCAAAAAGGAATGGTTATTCAGGAACATAGAGTAATTTTTATTTTCTCTCCTAACTGGATTAATTCAATCATTAGGTTCGTGTTGCTCAGTTCGAGATCGTTTCAGTAGACAGACGAAACAAAAAGTTTGGGCATTTTGTTAAAACGAAATCATGGCATTAAAGATCGATCCTTTACAACGTCAAATGTTAGTCAGTGACAGAAGGTTGTGTGTGTGTGGGAGTTATCAGCTGTTTTACATTTCTTGCAGGTTGGCCCACTAGGCTAGATAAAGACTAACACTACCGAAAAGTTATTACACTTTTTTAAAAAACATCTTTTAACTGCGATGCATTAAAATTCCGGCAAACAAAAGGAAATACGCCACCATTCTCTCGTTAGCCTGTGATTTAAACACTCTCAGATCTAAAGCAAAATCTGCGTCGAAATAAATGAGATGTCGTACAGTGGGAGTTAGGGCATTTATTGATACAGTTCACTTTCCAGACTATTCTCGTTTTCCATGATTTACTTCACTATCCAGATAGCTTGGATTTCCGCAGGTGTGTCATCTTTCGGTCTATATTCAATCACAGTAATGTAGTTTACCACCCAGATTTTTCTAACTATCTAACGTGTGGTTCATATTTCATAATATTTTGATTTTCCATAGTACAGCACACTTTCCAGATTATTCTATCTTCCCATTCTATAGTTCATCAACAGACTAATGTTACTTTCCACGGTGTAAATACTTTTACAGACTATTTTATTTTTCTATTTTATAGTTCATCAACAGACTAATGTTACTTTCCACGGTGTAAATAACTTTACAGACTATTCTATTTTTCTATTCTATAGTTCATCAACAGACTAATGTTACTTTTTACTGTTACTAATAGTTTACAGACTATTTTGAGCTATTCTTTATTTTAATAGTATAGCTAACTTTCCAAACTAATTTGACTTTATACAGTAAAATATATGCTCCGAAATAGTATTATATATTTTTTTTAAGATAGAGTTCTTTCTCAACTATTCTAAATGTCCATAGTATTACTTACTTTTCAGTCTATCCTAAGTTTTCCCATAGTACAGCTGATTTTCCAGACTAATCTGACCCTCTATAGTATGCTCTGTACTCCAAAATAATATTCTATTTCTTTAAGGTTATAGTTCCTTTCCAGAGTATTATGACTTTCTAAGCTTTCCGCGATATAGTTCACCTTTTAAACTTATTTCACTTTCTACAGTATAATGTTTTCGAAATTATCCAATGACTCTTGTCATTATATCAAACACAGCGACAGTAATAGATGTATTGTGTTTGTAATTAAGCACAAAGCTACACAATGGGCTATCTGTGCTCTGCCCACCACGGGTATCGAAACCCGGATTCTAGCGTTGTAAGTCCGCAGGCATACCGCTGTGACGCTGGGGGGCGTTATGTTTGTAAATAGCTATAATACTATGTGACATGTGATTTCTGTTTGTAAATAGACAATACGCTATGTTACACAAAGTTTGTTTTCCAAAACGTAACTACACCATGTGGCACAAAATATCCGTTTGTAAATTTACACTAAAACATATGAAATACTTTTTATCTGTTTTTTTTTATATATACAGTAGCTACTACACTACATATATATATATACATGTTTGTTTGTAAATAGCCATTAAATTATATGACATGGGATTTTTGTTTATAAATAAAGATTACTGCTAAGAAATATGTGAAATTACAGGTTTTAAAAGAGAAGTATAGCTATCGCTGAGATTTATACAAAACCACAACTTTAACATTGAGGTATGCATATTGTTGACAGATATGCAAACCTATGTATAGTTATATCTTTGAAATGTGAATGTCGCTGAAAGTTATACGAACCTAAGATTTTAATGTTGGAATATGACTATCGTTAAGAGTTTATACACAGCTACGGGTTTTAATGTTGACGCGTGATTATCGTTAAAACTTATACACACGCGTGGGTTTTAATGTTGGCATGTGACTATCATTAAGAGTTATACATACCTACGGGTTTTAATGTTGACATGTGACTATCTTAAGAGTTATACACACCTATGGATTCCAATGTTGTCTTGTGACTATCGTTAAGAGTTACACACACCTACGGGTTTTAATGATGACATGTGACTATCGTTAAGACTTATACATACGTATGGGTTTTAATGTTGACGTGTGACAATCGTTAAGAGTTGTACACACCTACAGGTTTTAAGGTTGACGTGTGACTATCGTTAAGAGTTATACACACCTCCGGGTTTTAATGTTCACGTGTGATTATCGTTAAGAGTTATAGAAAAGTACAGTTTTAACGATAAGTAGGACTATCGCTTCAAG